ATAATAATCTTGGTTAATTTGTAGTAAGAATATCGATTTTTGAAAGGAAGAGATTTACAAAGTACACAAAGTAAGAGAAATAAAGACCGTAGGCTCTATTACTTTACAACAACAAAAAAACAACGACATTCTCGGTGTAATACTCGCCAATATCTGACAGTAAGGCTGTGTATTTAATTAATAAAAAATAATCATGAGGATTACGACGTTCGAAATAATCGTCTCTCACATTCTTGCATACCGTGATTCTCCATGTGACTTCATGGATACGCTAACGATTTAAAAAGATGTAGTAAATAAGGTAAATAAGAAAAATTGCACGAGGAAGCAATGATAATACGGGCCAATTACATCTAAATATAAAAATGAAACTACTTTATAGTTTCCACTGAAAATAGAGTGTGACTCAATAACGAATACGCATGGTCTGGGAATATCGTTGCCAGAAAATAACGCAAGTAGAGCGCAACTGATCAGCGTAAATCCGGATTATCATTAATTTGCTTTTTTATACGTAACAATACTGTCGTGTACCACTGATCCAATCTTGAAATTGAATCGTATTCCTTCACCGCTTCTGTGTAACCTTCTAGATTCTGTTCCTCCAAATGCTCTATCAACGTCTACAGATGTACAATATTTAACAAGTTATCAAATAGTATATATATATGTAAAAAAAAGAGACAAAGTTAACTTAACATGGGCACGTACCTTAACCAGTTTGTATTCTCTAGAATCTTGAAAAGCGGGATACTGCTCCTGATAACGCTCGATCGCGTGCTGGGCGTTTAACGAGTCCACGCACAAGTGGCACAACGCAGCGCGGAAGAAGTAATCCTTGGCGCTGTATTTTAGTAAAGAACTTTCTAATGCCGCGGAAGCGACCTGCAATATGAAATGACAAGATTCAAACATCCGCATTCGGATTAATCAATGGAATTATTGATGTTTACAACGCGCTGTCGCGCACGTATGCGAGAGAGATGCCTTCGATTTTTACCTGCTCATAGATCCGAATGGCTTTATCGTAATTCTCAAGTTGCGCGGCGTACTGCGCGACTTTCAGGAGACACTTGTTCGCGGAGGAGTTACTTTCCTCGCCGCGGAAATAGTCCGCGGCCTGCTCGTAGTGGTGCACCGCGCGCTCCAGGTCGACCGCCTCGCTTTCGTAGATCTCGGCTATACTTTGATGATGCTTGGCTGCCATCGTAAAACGACCCATGTCGGTATAAATCTCGATGGCTTTCAACAGGCAGCTGATCGCCTCTGTAAGGACGAAGAAGCAAGGATACGCTACATTAATTTCGGATACCTTAATCACCAAATTCTCCACCATTCAATCAAGCTTATTCCCATAAGTTACCGTTTGTATCAGACTTCTTGAAGCAATTGGCAGCGTCTACGTAATTACTAGCCGCGTCGTGACGACTACCCGCCTTCGCGTGTAACTCCCCCGCGTCATAAAACGCCTTCCCTGCCGAACTCCACTTCTTTGCCATCTTGAACATGTTCGCCGCCCGTTGGTAACATTCCACCGCTTCCTCGACCTTCGACGAGCTCCTGCAAAATTGAACATTGCCTC